TATAGATACAAAGGTCAGTAATCAGCACTTCCATATAATGCCATACAGAAGTTACTCCACAGACAGCTGTTTTCACCAGGGTACTGCTTCTCAATTATGCAAATAGATTATATTTACTACACACCTATTTATGCCCAGTCAATTGGAGGCTTGGATAACAAAGCAGCTATTTGTAATGCATTTCTAGAAGATTCTTCAATAATACAACTTTTCTGACTGATTCATCTGGAAAATTAAAGCTTTAGAAATTCTAGGCATTCACAAGAGGCAGTTAGTTCCATATCTGAGTCCCTTTCTTTTCTAAATATGGTATTTATTGCAAAAGCTCTACTGGACAAAAGAAATGTGTGTGCTTGTGTGTGTGTGTGTGTGCATAATGAAAATCATAACTAAAACAATAACGAAAATAACATTAAGTTTTAGTTTTTTCCCATGGAAACTATTTTTTTAGAACTTTTTCTGATTAATATATTTACTTATAAATAGGCTTGATTTCTCCCTCCTTGCTCCTGCCATAAAAATTTCCATGTCCTGGACATTCATAGAAAGCACTCTTCAGGTATTTTTGGTTTAATTGGTGATGTCTTCTGGTGATATAGTGTCTATGACCCAACATGACTGTAAAGGGACAATACTAGCTTCCTGTATTCATTTATCTATTTATCCATCATTAACCGAGTACCTACAATATGTAAGCAACTATTCTACATGAAACAGTAAACAGTAGCTGACATCCTCTCTAAAACATTTATGGAGTTCACATTCTAATAATTTCTAATGTTTACTCATAGTAAGGATGCATTTTTTTCCCTTCTCTTTATCTCCCTTGCTGTTGCTTGTGATAAATTTTCCTACTTCAAGGAAAAGCCCAAAAGTAAATGACAAGTGTAACCCTGCTTAAAATAAGTACTGTTTATCAATGTTTTGTCTAAACTCATGAAATTCATTCTCTAGTTACTTATGAATAACATTAAGATTTTTCTTTTCAAAGGCAGCAACATTTATAACAGTACTTAATGTTGAGTACATTGCATTTCTACATTTTCATTTTAATATTCAGAGAATATAATTCATAAGATGTGTTACTAAGACATTACTGAGATGTCTATGTTAATTTACATTAATATGTGCTATTATTATCCCTATTTTATAGATGAGAAACTGGAAATACAGACATTGAATAACTTGCTCAAGGTTATACAACAAAAAGTAGCTGAGTGGGATTTAGCTATCAGTGGTATGGTTTTGGATTCTTTATTCTTTATTTAATTTAATTCAATTTTATTTTATTTTATTATTTTTATTGTTATGTTCAATTAGCCAGCATATACTACATCATCAGTTTTTGATGTGGTGTTCAACGTTTTATTAGTTGCACGTGACACCAATGCTCATCACCACATGTGCTCTCCTTAACACCTACCACCCAGTGATGGGGTAACTACCCCATTCCCCACCCCTCTCCCTTCTGTAACCTTCAGTTTGTTCCCAAAGTCCAGAGGCCCTCATGGGAAGTCAGAAAGGAAGACAAACCATGAGAGCCTCTGGGTTCCTTATTCTTAACTACTACACTGTATCGCTTCTCTGAAAAGAACGTGCTCTTGCTTTGATTCCCGTAACACAACATTATTAACTTTTTTAATACTTATCACATCCCGTATTTTGTGTAGTATTTATTCCCTGTTGCATCATGTACTCCGTTTTAATGATTTGCTTATGCTTTCTGTGTCTTAATGTTCTTAACTGCAAAATAAAAAAAACAGGTTGTCATGTCCAGTATCTCTCAGCTCTTAAATTTTGTATGGATCTGATATCCACACATATTAAATTTGACACTTTCTTCCAATTTCATTGGAAGATTTTTTTTTAAGTTTCTATTATTAAAAGCCTCTTATAATATTCCTGAATCTTATGATGTATTTCTTTCATATTAGTACATTTTTAGTTCTTTGCCTTTATTATTTAGTTTGGTTCAACAAGTGTTTATGAAGCACTTACTATGTGCTAGGAATAAAGGACAAAAATAAATACAATATGGCTTCTGCTCTTGAGATGCTGGCAATCCAATTAGTGGTTGATATGTGAAAACTTAGCTATTGCCTAGTCTTAAAAAATGGTTGTTCTTTTGAAATGTTTTCTGTCTCTTCATTTATGATAAATACTATTGAATACAAACTAATTTCCAAAGTGTCTTTTTAAAATATGTTTTTGATAGGGGTGCCTGGGTGTCTCAGTTGGTTAAGCATCCAACTCTTGATTTTGGCTCAGTTCATAATCTCAGGGTCATGGAACTGAGCCCCACATCAGTCTCCACACTTAGTGGGGATTCTGCTTGAGATTCTCTTTCCTTCTCCCTCTCATACTCTCTAAAAATAGATAGATAAGGTTTTGGTAACTGATTACACATGTCTATTAAGATTCAGAAACTAGCCTTGTAACAAGCTACTAAGAAGAAAAATGCTTTATTCTGTTAACTGTTTTGTGAATGCAGTATATTTATTAATTATAACATAATAGATTTAAAGGAAAGAAGAAAAGCCATCTTTCTTTAAAATGCTTATACATTTTTAAAAAAGAAAACTTTATCAGCTAACCAAATGAAAAACATACATTTTTAATTATGTTCAGTTAGCCAGCATATAGTACATCATTAGTTTTTGATGTAGTGTTCAATGATTCATTAGTTGTATATAACACCCAGTGTATATCACAACACGTGCCCCCCCTAATGACCATACATCTTTCAAGTACTAAGTTATATCTTGAATCTGTGCTGCTAATACAAGGGGAAAAATGTCTATTTTTGTGGTTTTAAATCTATTGTATATGTTATATAGTATATGGTATGAATATATAATAGCTAATATACTATAATATGCAGCTATATTATAAAATATATTATTAATGTACAATTAATGTATAATAAATACTATATGATATGTAATATTGTATGTTGTATATATTATATATATTACATATAATATACACTATACAGTAAATATTATATATGTGTTATGTATTGTGTGTGTGTATATTTATATATGCTCACTAAACAGGATTTAAAGTGCTTTATTTCTAGCCTAAATATTATTTTATTTCTTTCTCAACTAAAATTAGACTTCATAGTTTATTTTCAAATGATTTATTGATTGATCATGTTTACCACCACATTTTTTAAATTATATGAAGTAAAGTGAAAGGCTTTCCCCCAGCGGTAGTCAGTATTAACCATTTAATACATATCCTTTCTGACTTTTTTCCAATTCATACACAGACCTGACATTTAATTTCAAACCATATTATTAACTTCTATAAGGAGTAAATTAGAAAATGAATAAAAGAGAATGACCCTTTTGTACTGAGCTAAAATAAGATAAAATGTAGCCCACTCTAATATTGAAAAGTATCGTTTTCCTCAATGTATGTAATACATAGTATATTTCTCCAATTGTCCACCAATAATTTTTATGGCCTAGTTTGTCACAATCACTGAGGCTTTTCCTAAAGAATGAATATCCTTCACAATTACTTTGTAAATTTATTATGTAATATATTTTATATGCCGAGGACAAATACTGGTGTTAGTTTGTGTACAAAACACTCTATTCACATTATCTCTTTTAATCTACACAACAGCCATGTGAGGAAGGTATTAATAGTATTCCTATTTTTAAAATGAGGAAACCAAAGCTTAAAGAGTTTAACTCGCCCAAAGGTACACAGGTTATGAATGTCAGAGCCAGAATTCAAGACCACTCATTCCAAATGCTGTACTGTCAACTATTATACATACTTGTCACTTGGATAATAAAAATAGTTGGCCACATAATGTAATACTGAGCAACTATTGCTCTCTAAGTTTGACCTTATTTTCAAGTGATTTTCCAACCAAAGTGTCTTGTCTACAATTAAGCATGTATTTATTTATATAATAGTACACTCTGCCTACATTAAATTCTTCTTTTGAAGTGTTCTTAGAACATAGCACTATGATAAATGTATCAGATCACATTTTGTGACATGAAAGAAGTCACAGCTGTGGTAGAATTAGCATGAACAAAGACTAAGGGAAATTGGAAGTTAATATTGGAGAAAATAAATAGATAAAGTAATCAGAAGACAACTGAGACAAACATCTTATAATGTCATCATTGACTAGCTTTAGGGCTATTAATTCTGATATGAACTAATTTACTCAGACTGTGTAAGGATAATGCTTTTCATATAATCTGAGATGCTAATATCTTAAACTCAATTTTGAAGTGTTAATAAAATAATCTAATCTAGCTCTATACCCTCTAGTTGATTTTTCACATAGAAAATGTCCCATTTTTGACAAATCTTCTTTCCATTTATGGAAACTTTTTGAAGTTTACTAATCTTGAATTTTTTCCAGGAATAGAAAGGAATTTAAAATGATCCTATATATTTCTACATAGTGTGTTTCTCCAAATGTTCTCATTAAGTGCCACAATATTAATATGGCACTAAGCCGTAACAAAGTGAGTTAATATTTATAAAACACTAAAAGCAGCCTGGCATATAGTAAGCACTGCATAAGAATTGTTAAATAAATCCATTCATATCTTTGTAATGTAAATTTAGACATAAATTTATTAGGTTGGTTTAGTAATTAAAGGTGTGAGCTCCAGCACCAGACTACTTGAGTTCAAATCACAAGCTTTGTGACTTTGGCCAAGTTAATTTATCTAGTCTTGGTTTCCTCATCTGTTAAATATGCAGAGGAATAGTACCTAATTTATAAGGTGGTTGTGAGAATTAAAGAAGTTAACATAGAACAATGCCAGATGTATAAAAAAAACTCAGTGAATGTTGACTATTTATGTTATCATGATTATACGTGTGCACAGCTTATAATCTGATGTCTTTTTGTAAAAATATTAAAAAGTTAACTAAGATGCCTGAGGCTTTTATAAACAACTATGGTTTCCTTTTTATAGCACATTAGGCTCAACTTGGGCTTTTCACTTTGTTTTTAGCCAATCGCCACTGAACCTGAAGTAATGAGTTTCTCAGTAGAACATGGACCTGACTGTGTGCCTCCAACTCAACATCTATCAATGGTGAGTGGGTTGAATTCTCCATTAGAGAGCATTTAGAAGCTAACTATTGGAGAAATAAATATGTAAACTTTATCATTTAAGCAATATTCTACATGTAGCTTGAATTCAGGAACCTAGATAGAATTTGTTTTATTACAGTATTTGGACTCAAATAAAATCATTCCACCATGGACTCTAGTTAAGATTCCCTTTCAGTAATCTTACAAAAACAATTCAAGATTCATTCATTCATTCAATAATTTATTGAACAGATGGCCTAACTGCTATTTATGACTATCTGAGTTCTTTATTTCCTTTCTAAGTAAATGTAGGCTACTATTTGTCATTTGACTCTGTTGACTCTTCCTTGAAAATTAATGTAACAATTTTTTTTCTGGAATTATTTTTTTAAAAGATTTTATTTATTTATTTGACAGAGAGATCACAAGTAGGCAGAGAGGCAGGCAGAGAGAGAGGGAAGCATGCTCCTCACTGAGCAGAGATCCTGATGCGGGGCTCAATCCCAGGATGCTGAGATCATGACCCGAGCCGAAGGCAGAGGCTTTAACCCACTGAGCCACCCAGGCGCCCCTGGAATTATTTTTTTACCTTTTCTGATTCTCTGTTGTTTTTACTAGCTCTTATTCTTGGCATGATATACATAGCCCTTAAAAATATTATCATATGGTTTCACTTATTTGTGGAGCATAACAAATAGCATGGAGGACATGGGGAGTTAGAAGGGAGTTGGGGGAAATTGGAAGGGGAGGTGAACAATGAGAGACTATGGACTCTGAAAAACAATCTGAAGGATTTGAAGAGGTGGGGGGGTGGGAGGTTGGGGGAACCAAGTGGTGGGTATTAGAGAGGGCACGGATTGCATGGAGTACTGGGTGTGGTACAAAAACAATGAATACTGTTATGCTAAAAATAAAAATATATATATAATCTCAGGGCGCCTGACACACTAGGTAGAATTAGATTATTTTTGTGTGTGATCATGTGGCAATTTGTAAATAATACTGTCAGAAAACTCATCACACTGTGTTCTAGACAGTCTGTGTCATGCTTTCTTATTGTTTTTTGTAATTATAGCAAACACCGCAGTACCTTAAACACAAGGATTTTAATGCTTGTTGAATAAGTGAATATGTGATTAAATGTATGTAAGTATGGATGGATGAATGGACAAGGTCCCAAAATAAGACCAGGCCAGAAAATCATAAACAAGAGTGTAAACCAAAGATACTATTTCATCCTCTAGGCTCAGAGAATATAAAAACATAAGTTCAAAAATACCCTGATAAACACAGTGGGTTCTGGTACTTTTATTCAGCCACATCCATCCCTCTCCCCAAGGAAAGGAGACCTCAGAATCTAGTCCTAATGAGATGGGGTTATTTACTCTTCCAGGACACAGATGTACAGAGGGTACATCTTAGAAGTTTCCTGGTCCTTCTGACAAGACTATAAAGTAATTAGATTCTTCCAGCCTCTACCTCACAGTTACAAAGTGAGTTTCTCACATTGACATACTTATTTACCTACCTGAACCTTGTTATTTAATCAATTTGGAAACATGTTTATTAAATAACATTTAAGTACAAGAAAAATAAAATTGTTTAGCTATTTTAATAGAAGCAACTTCACAGATAATATCCAGAAATTCCTCACTTACATTCCCACAAAATATGAACTGAAATATAACATATTAGGAAATAATTAAATCTTTCTGTCTAATCAGCTCAGTCTTCAATTAAGAATCACATAAACACACATTGGCAATTTTCTCATCATATGATTTACAACATTTATTTCTGAGATAACAAGATACACAGTCGATTATAGTTATGTAGAAACCACATATTATCAGTGTTATAATGAAACATTTGAAAGGTAGAAATAAATCCTAAGTTCTTCTTTGGAAATGGGGGCTATGCAGTACCAAGTAGCCAACTCTAAAGGGAAAATATGGATAAGGCATTTCTCATTGGGTTATTAATCTTTAAACCCTACGTGATCAAGACCAAAAGTGGTGCTAATTAACATCTAGTTTGAAAAGTTTTATCATCAGTCATTTTTGTTTTTTCCCAAGTCTTGTGTGTTCCACACTTTAGAGGTGCTTTTTGCTTGCAAGCTTCTTACTGTATGTGTGTAAATGACTATGAAAGGAAAACCCCATGCACATGTAATGATGATGCCACAATTATTTGTCTTTATATTCTCTTCACAGGAGATGTAAACCTAAGGGTATATAAAGAGAAATACGGGCACCTGGGTGGCTCAGTGGGTTAAGCCTCTGCCTTTGGCTGAGGTCATGATCTCAGGGTCCTGGGATCGAGCCCCGCATTGGGCTCTCTGCTCAGCTGGGAGTCTCCTTCCCCCGCCCCCACCTGCCTCTACTTGTGATCTCTGTCAAATAGATAAAAAATAAATAAAATAAAAATTTTTAAAAAAGAGAAATAATTGATCTAAGCACTAAATTTGTCCCTAGAACAATGAAAGACATTTTTACTTTTCTGAAACAATTAAAGTCTGTTCCACATACTTTTTGAGTGTAGTTACATAGACTGTCATCTGTTGCCAAAGAAGCACTTAATGAAATGTAGGTCTGAGTAATAATAATAGCAATCATTTATGGAGTGTTTACTATGTATGGGACACTCTGATAATCACTTTATAAGTGATGATTTGTTTATTCTGTATACCAACCTAATGAATTATGTATATATATATTTATTTGAGTATAGTTGGTACACAGTGTTATATTAGTTTAAGTTATACAACATAGTAATTCAACTTCTCTATATGTTATGCTATGCTCACAAGTGTAGCTACCATCTATTACCAGATATCACTTTTATTCAACTATTATTTCTTCATTTTACTGATGAAGAAACTGAACCACATATAATTTAAATAACATGTCCCAAATTATGTAGCTATTAAATGACAGGCAATCTGACTACAGAGCTCATGCTTTTATTCAATATGCTATATTATTTTTATATTGCCTAACATTTGCCTATGGAAGTGCTATTATCAGCTCACTCCAAAACGAAGTTCCATTTGGTTTCCCCACTCTTTCACCGGAAAAGCTTATAGGGATTGACCCATCTTAAATCAAGACAAGTCTGTGGGATTATTGGCAATATTAAAGTTAGCTAATTTTTTGAATGGCCAAAGTATAGTGCCAATATAGTCCCTTCACTGAAAAATAACCGCCCTTAAAATCCTATTATACTTTGTGATTCTATGAAAACAGAATTCTTATCATTTTTCATTGTGTTACATTATTATTGGTTCCTATAGTGTTAACGGAAAAAGCTGATACTACCTGGTTTTGCCTTTTAATGTACATTACTTTTCAATTAAATAGAAAAATGAGGACCAGCAACACATTACTATTGATGAGAAACATCTTGTGAGATGTCAGAAGACATCCATGAAATTAAATCAGAGCATTCTCAAATGAGTTTTTCCTTATTTAAAACACCAACCATATGGGGCTCTTGGGTGACTCAGTCAGTTGGGGTTGGAAATCTGACTCTTGGTTTCAGCTGATGTCATTATCTTGGGTCATGGGATCAAGCTCTGTGTCAGGCTCTGTGCTCAGTGGGGAGTCTCCTTGAAGATTCTCTCCCTTTGACCCTCCACCTCCCCACCTCATCCCCCCCACCCGCTCTCTCTTTCTAATAAATAAATAAATAAATCTTTTTAAAAAAAATACAACATCAACCACATTTTCACAGATTTTTTCTCCCCTATGTTGATTGTATGCTTATATACTCTTTTTTTCAAGTTTTTTTTTAATTTTTTTTAAATTTTTTAAATTTATTTTCAGCATAACAGTATTCATTGTTTTTGCACCACACCCAGTGCTCCATGCAATCTGTGCCCTCTCCAATACCCACCACCTGGTTCCTCCAACCTCCCACCCCCCGCCCCTTCAAAACCCTCAGATTGTTTTTCAGAGTCCATAGCCTCTCATGGTTCACCTCCCCTTGTGTCCTTTACCCTCTCAAGACAGGTTTGCATAATCCATTGTGGCTTGAGTCTTCAAAGTATACTTTCCCTTGAGTGTGAATCGTCCTTTCTTAGCAAACCAAATTTCATTGTTGTTGTTGTTGGTGTTGCTGCTGCTGTATTGCACAAAACATGGTATGTTATTGGGAATATAGATACTTCGATAAAGCCATGTAGTGGGTTGTAAATTTAAATTCCACAGCCATTGTCCACAGATTTTTGTATTTTTTATTGATTACTGGTAATTTTCAAGTCCATCTAACTTCCAAATTGATAATCCATTATATGCACTACAAAGAGATTATTCTTAAAAAAGAGATTATTCTTTTTATAAACACTACTTTGTGATAGTGTCATTCTCCTACTCAAACCATTTCATGGCTCTCCATCACCTGCAAAGTAATTCCAGATGCCTTTTGTTGTAAATCAAAACCATGTACTAAAATGACAACACTGATCTGTCAGTATCCTATTAGTGATTTTTTGTTGTGTGTGTTTCTTTTGTTTTCTGCTCCTGCCTTAATGAGCTTTTTACTCAACTTAGAATTCCCCATATACACTCCTTCCTGTTTGCTTTTGCTCAAACCATTTCATCTTTCTGGAAATGTCAAACTCTATTCGATCCGATTGTCTGAATGTTCTCTCTCTCCCAAATAAATCTCTACCTTCTCCATGAGGTCTTTACTGGTCATTCCACCTCCTATAAAATGTCATAAAACTTTATCCTCACATACTACTTCATATTGCTATTTCTATTTTATGTGGAGATACTGCTTTGTTAACCAGACTTAACCTCCATCAGAGAATGGACTTGGTTTATCCTTCACCAACCTAAGATAAAAATCTAGAGCTTACAACATAAATATTTGCCAATTTATTCAATAGTCTCATAGATTCTTGTCAACCAAGAATTGTTTGTCAACCAAACCATTGTTTCTATCTGTTGTCCATTTATATATTTTCTTTGAAGAAGTGTCTATTCAGGTCCTTTCCCC